CAGGATGGGTTAGTGGATGGAGCATTGGGGTGGGAGTCAGGAGACCTAGATTCTGTTTTTGACTCTCTTACTGGTCTGCTGGATGGCTTCAGGATAACTTCACCTTTCACGGTCTTGGTTTCTCCATCTTCAAAATGGAGATGAATCCTGATCCTAAGAATACTGATCTCCTTTATGATGAACTTTGAGATTTGGGATGAAAAAGGGTAAAATAAGAGCAAGTTATTAATACTTACTCACTGACTTCTATCAGGAAAAGTATTTGGTGAGTTGCAAAAGGTAGATGGGGAGTTGAGTGGCCATTGAGCTGTGCTAACATGTTTTTCTGTCTTAATGTGCTTGGGTAGGATTTATGTCTAGTATTCTTTGGGTATTTCTTCCCTATAGACTTTATGTATTAAATCAGTAATCCTTCTTCTGATTAGCATCATTGTCAGTGTCACAAAAAAACCCTCCAGTGTCACCCAGCTCACGTGTTATAGCACACTTCTTTCTGTTTGCACTTTGGCTGTGGCTGCTGAAGTCAGAGCACATGTATTACATTGAAAGTATATATTTATATTGGCGACTTACCAGTAATTCTTTGCTTCAAGGTATTTAATGCATTCTCATCAGATAACCCAGGTGCGATCTTTGCTCAGCTGATGTCAGTGGAGCTCTGCCACTGGCTTCAGAAGGGCCAGGATTTCACCCTCCTTGTGAAAGTTAATAGTTGTACTAAAATCTGAACAAATGCTGTTCTGCAAGGCAGCGTCCTGTGGTGACTGTAAAGTTGTGTAGCCGTTACTATGCTGAGTCTCTCATATAGTCAGCTAGCAGGGGTACCAATAAAGAAAGAGTTGGCGAGCAGGAAGGAGTGGAAGTTTTGTCCTCACCTAGCCACGGGGAGCAGAGGCCTCATTCTTGTAGGGCTATGCTAGGGTTGTCTGGGTCTGGTGCTGCTAAGCACCCCAAAGCCAGCCATGGAAAAGCAAACCCAAAGAGTCTAAAGTTGGTTTCGGGCAGTTCAAAAAGTTTGTCTTCACATCTTTTGTCCTAGGCCAGGGAGGGGATTTTGGTTAGAATTATCCTGGACCCAATGATCTTCCGAGGTCCCTTCCAGCCTTAATGTCTACGAAATCCTAAAACTCAGGGATTTTCCAGCTCAGGTGTTCAAACCACCAGAAGACTATGCTCTCCCTAACACTGTGGGGAAGGGAGAATATTTCCCCAAATACCTTCCTTGTAGTAACTCTGAGTCCCTTTTGAAATCACTTGGAGCTTGGGAAAGTTTGGCTGCAAACCTGCTCCTGGAGCGTTTGCATACCTAGGATTGTGGTTGGCTTGGAGGCATAGTTAAGTTAGCAGTGTTAGTCTGCCATCAAGCAAAGGCAGGGTAGATTTTCATTTTATAGACTAAAT